GTATGAACCCAGTTGTTGGTCATGGCATGGACTGGTGCCGCGGTCACGGATAATAGCCGTACACTCTTTTCCACATGGACTTGCACAACAAATACTCGTACAAAAACACCAAAAAAAAAACAGCATGTTGAGCAAAAGTGTTTGTAAGTGGCATTTATGTCGAAAGTGACACTGATGCCAATTTGTGCGTGTGTGTCCAATTGCCACTGGCCACAGGCTGTTTTGCCCAGTGAATTATGCCACAGAAATTAGCTACCTGCAGCCAGTCCAATTAGTGAACAAATTTATTGTTCTCAACGAGTCAAAAGATATGGAGAAAGAAATAAATAAGCGTAAAAGTTAAGGACATTTTCCTAGCAGTTTTCGCTTAATCTTTTGTAGGTAACGCCTATTAGCTTGATATCTATTATGTAAATATTGCCACCAAGAAAAAGTTTATAATTATTTAGATATTTATTCTAGATAATATAAGTATATGTATCTTGCATATTTGCTGATTTTAATATTGAATTTTTGCTTCCGACTTTTTCAGATCATGTCAAAGATTTCAGCTGTGGGCCGCTACATTACAAAACATTTTACTTCGATGAAAACAGTAATGCGCTATATGTGGGAGCCATGTAAGTACTATGATCATCTGCTTAGATTTTTATGCAAATTATGTATTTATTATAAGAGAGAGAGGGTTATGCTTAAATTTAATGGGCGACAAAACTGCATACTCAAAATCTTTCTTCCTATCTTAAAATATGTATAAAATAACCAAAATTTGAGAGATTTTTCGAAACCTTAAGGCTTTTAGGGTGACCGTAAATAATACACGATAGGAAAACCGTTAAATGCGGGTCATGCGAAAAAAGTTGCGTTCGTAAACTAAAATAAAACATGTAAAACTGTGAAAAAGGAAAATTGCTCTCAGAGAAAGAGAGAAAAGTCAAAGTAAGGGAACGCTTTCCGGATAAAAACTGGCAAAACTTTCAGATCCACTGTAGACGCCATTTTTTTATTTACATGGCTGCTTTTATCATTGAACATTGAACAGATTTTAGCGAAGAAAGTTTTTCGGGTAAAATTTTACAACTTCTGACAAAGGTTCTCTTTTGCTCTCGCACTTTTCCCCTACTTTGCCAGAGAACCGAGTACGTGAACGCTTTCTGGTAACTTCTCGCAACAAATAGGAGAAGGTTAGATGCCAGTTCGTCGAAATATATTTTTTTGTTTCTAGTTATGGTATATGAATGAATCTGTCAGTCTTTACTTTAATTGTTCCTAACAAAATTGTAGATATTTATAGTTCTGGTAATCTCTTTTTTGAAGTTTTGTCTTACAAAGAGTTAAATGGAGTACCTCGTTCGAGTTGTCTTTAACTGCCCTCCACTCGCCGTGTCACAGAAATAAAGCTGTATACATATGTTTTTCGAATTTCACTGCCATCACTTCAACTATAGCTATATTATGGCTCCTAGAAACCGCAGGATATTCGATTCGTTGTTTTTCAAAGTTGTATTTTGTAAGCTTCAAACTGCTCCTGGTCATTAATAGTTTGAATAATAGCTCCCTTCAAGCACTCTTAATTTAAGCCTTTCTGTGAAAAAAAATTAGATAAATAAATCAGAATCCCAAATTTTTCGGCAAATGACTCTAACTTTAACTAAATTTGGAAATTTAAAAAAACTTTAAACTATTCATACACGCACATGTTCGCAAAAAAAAAATACCGCATGCTCATTAAAAAGTCTACAAACTTATTTTCAAAGTCTCATAAAATGAAATATTCATCAATTATACTTACCTAAGAAATGGTTGGAATTACTACTCAGCCTCCCAGCTGATTTTCCAAGGTTAACGCCCACAGCATCCCAATGGGGGCCATATCAGTTCCTAATTAACTATGCCGACAGCGTTGCCAACTATGTTTCAAACTTAACTGACATAAATTGGTGGCCCCTCCCATTGCCTAACGAATTTGAAATTCGGCCATTTTACTTACTCCTCCCCCTCTCGCTGTTCAGCGATTCACATCCTACTATCGGCACTCATCGCTTGACTCTTACGTTGAATTATGAAATATGCGTCCGCTTTGTGCAAAATGTGCGCAACCTCAAACATTTTTGAACAGTTTCAAATTTCACAATAACAACAATAGCATACAGGCATGCAAACGCACGTCCACTTGCGGGTAGAAGTGTGGAAAAGGAAGTAATTAATTGCAGCCTAACAAGCGTCAAATGGAGGCAGCTTCCAGACTATAAAGTAAATCATGCCCCATAAGCAACAACACTAAGTGCTCCACTAACAACTTATAAAGGCTATAAAATAGTGGTGGCAACAACAACAACACTATTAACTGTTTCAAGTCATAAACGGGTTGATAATGGCTGGAAAAATGATGGTAATTTCACCAAATCAGAGTATACTCGTACACTGCGAAGTGAATGCTCTTGTAAACTGTTTAGCAGAGCCTTTAGGACGTTTTGCATGTTGCTGTGTGCGAGGTGTACTCTTTTAAATAGTCGCTGTTTAGGATATATCTAGGCATATGTATCCGCTGTTATGGGTGCTCAGCCACAATGACCCATCCAGAGAGCAGACGTGTTAGCGAGAAACTTTGTTGGTTGTCAACTGACGCTAAATAGGCAGTTTTGATTTTCGGCACGCAATTATGAATTATAGAACATAATGAATCTGGTTACTTTCTAACGACCACTCCTGACACTGCCGCCATAATGTATTTCGGTTTAAATTTCGTTACTCTTTGAATTGTCGCCAATATTTTATATGCAAAAAGATGAACGATTTTGTAGTTTAAAAGTCAAAGAAACTTATCTCTAAATGTATATGTTCTTGACAAAAATGTATTAAGTGTGAAAAAGTAGATTTAAAAATGTTAAGGGTTATACTGCTGACTGCGTGCCGATTGATTAGATACTACGCCAACGCTCATTGGAGTTTATTTTCAATTCCTGGTTTTGCCAGAAAAGAGTTGCAGGTTCCGATGGCATAATTTTTCTCAGCTGAATATCTCTGCGTAGGTGCCACGAAACTGAATCGCTGATTTCCACGCAAACTTCTAAGACAGGGGCTATGCCATACAACTTTTGAAAGTGCTCGGCGTTATCTCTAAACCTAAGAGGGACAAGAAATTTCATATATCCCCTGATAATATCTTACCAATTAATCTCTCATCGTTCAAAGACCCTTTATAATTGATTTAATATCAGAAATAGAATTCCAGGAGAGCGTTTCTCTTTTAATCCATGAGTCAAGCGAAGTTGTGGCTTGAAAATGTTTGGAATTGAGAAAGAATTACGATCACTCCCCATATAACAGTAATTTTCTGAAATTCAAGAACTAAGTGCCGTTTTCACACGCAGGGTTTAAAATTTATCTGCCCTTCTAACACATTTCTTCAGAACAAAACTTGTTTTTAAGGGACAGATAAATTAAAACCTACAAGAGAAAACGGCTCTAAGATACCTATTTCGATAACTACTGAAGCTATCTTATGTAAATTTTAAATTTACAATAATCGTTGAGAATGAAATAAGATACAAACATTTTATTTTTTTTTTTTAAATTGCCGATTTATCAATTTTTACCAAACTCGGTATAAGTATTTCTTTAAATCTAGCGAAGATAAGGGTTGAAAATTTTTTAGTGAGCTTTGCTATTTTTTTTTTAACTTGTTTAATACCTAATACTAAAAATTTTAAATAATGCTAAAAAATAATCCACTTCAAAGAAATAAAACACATGTAATTTTTAAGCAAAAAACAAAATCGTCTTCAATTCTTATATAAAAATTTAAGATTATCGTTAATTTATTAATGATGCGACGATCGGATTTAAACCAAATTAATATGGGACCACCTGTAAGGTAAAAAAGATTAAAAATTCCGACGAATTGATAACTTTTCTCCTTTTTGTGAAGTCGGTTAACAAATGAAAAAAAATAGAGTATATCTAATACAAAACTGTTTGCACTCCCAAAAAAATCCTCTTAATTAATTGAGGTTGGAGAAAGTTCATAGATACATATAAACAAACATACCTATTTATGGGCACGTGCATACATATGCATATACATATGCCTTTTACATTATAATAACCCCAACTTGCTTTCATATGTACGAGTAAATCTCTGGTCACGCGCAAGAATATTTTCCTTGTGGCTCTAAAGATTTTCACATTTACCATTTCAAACATTTCATATTAAATATACTAGCGAAAATAGCGCAACACGACTTCTGGCGATATCTTCCTTGTCTCTCCTTTCAATGCCAGGAAATACCTAAAGAGGAGCATCAGCGAAATGAAGATTAATGGTTGCAGTTGGGAACAATTTAACCGCATTATGCGTTCAAATAGAAAAAAATAAATAAAAAAGCTACAAGCAAGAAAAAAGAAAAGGAAGAGGATATCGGAACAAGCCAAGAAGATGTGTGAATGTGTATACATGAATTGCTGCTCCCACGCGGGCGACATCTAAATAGTTAACAAATGCTTTGGTTCGGCAGCGTTACTTGCACATGAACAGCGAATGTATACCCTGCAGGAAATGTATCTAACTAACGGGTGATTTTTTTGAGGTTAGGATTTTCATGCATTAGTATTTGACAGATCACGTGGGATTTCAGACATGGTGTCAAAGAGAAAGATGCTCAGTATGCTTTGACATTTCATCATGAATAGACTTACTAACGAGCAACGCTTGCAAATCATTGAATTTTATTACCAAAATCAGTGTTCGGTTCGAAATGTGTTTCGCGCTTTTTTATCGACAAATTTTGTTCAGCGATGAGGCTCATTTCTGGTTGAATGGCTTCGTAAATAAGCAAAATTGCCGCATTTGGAGTGAAGAGCAACCAGAAGCCGTTCAAGAACTGCCCATGCATCCCGAAAAAATGCACTGTTTGGTGTGGTTTGTACGCTGGTGGAATCATTGGACCGTATTTTTTCAAAGATGCTGTTGGACGCAACGTTACGGTGAATGGCGATCGCTATCGTTCGATGCTAACAAACTTTTTGTTGCCAAAAATGGAAGAACTGAACTTGGTTGACATGTGGTTTCAACAAGATGGCGCTACATGCCACACAGCTCGCGATTCTATGGCCATTTTGAGGGAAAACTTCGGAGAACAATTCATCTCAAGAAATGGACCGGTAAGTTGGCCACCAAGATCATGCGATTTGACGCCTTTAGACTATTTTTTGTGGGGCTACGTCAAGTCTAAAGTCTACAGAAATAAGCCAGCAACTATTCCAGCTTTGGAAGACAACATTTCCGAAGAAATTCGGGCTATTCCGGCCGAAATGCTCGAAAAAGTTGCCCAAAATTGGACTTTCCGAATGGACCACCTAAGACGCAGCCGCGGTCAACATTTAAATGAAATTATCTTCAAAAAGTAAATGTCATGGACCAATCTAACGTTTCAAATAAAGAACCGATGAGATTTTGCAAATTTTATGCGTTTTTTTTTAAAAAAAAGTTATCAAGCTCTTAAAAAATCACCCGTTATAAGTTAACTTGAAGTTGATTAGAAAGGAATTAAAGGTCACTATTATCTGTGTATTTTCTTTGAGGACAGCTAACTATATTTATATGGCGATGGCCGCGAAATGGTCAAGGGTGGTTACCTCTGCATTAGATATCAATTAACTTGTAACTAACTACTTCTGAACATAAAGGATTAATAAGAAAAACAATTTATTTTTATTTTTTTATTTTTTACTCCCTTATTTATTATTAAAATATTTGTTTACATATTCCGCCAGACATAACATCAAAATGATAATATAAAATTTGGATCTTCATTTTATTGGTCCTGAATTCGAAAAATTATTTGTGAAGTGCAGAGAATTTTTCATATGTATGTATGTGTGTACATAAAATCAAGAAGTTCAAGAGTACATGAGCGCAATCCCTTTGGCAATGAAAATGTGGGAACAAAATCCTTAAAAAGCTTGAATGTTTACTTTTTTCCGATGTATAGCTACACGTGAGGCCGTAAGAGAAGAAGTGCCCTAACCCAAAAAAAAGTGTTTCTACTTACCTACTTAAAATAGTCTCAAATGTGATAAATTTTAAAATAAAACACGTATTTCAAGTTATGGAAAAATCGATCTTTATTTTAAAATGTTTCACACAAAAAAAAAATCATTGGTTAGGCCACGTCTGCTCTCATGGCCTCATTTGTATGTATGTATATAAATATATAAATTATTTTTTTACTTACTTTAACATTTTCTAGCTGCTTTTTCCCGTATGTTTTTTATTAACAATTTACCAGCGCAATATAAAATCAATTTATTGTTCAATTTAAATTCATTTCGCTCAAAAACTAATTTATGTAATTTAAAATGGTGCGAAAAATTTATGGTTAAGCACTTGGGTAAAAACACTTCGCACTTCTTGTGCGCGCAAATTGTTGTTGCGGCTGTATTTTGTATACATAGTTGTACTTCTTCTCACCGCAAAACTTTCGGAATTTGTTAAGTGAAAAGTTGAAAATTAAAAAGTTTTCAACTTGACCGTTGCCGAACCTTTCGCTTATAAATCAGTTCGGCTGTTCGCTTGGCTGGCCTCTGTATTGTGTTGAGCTGAGCTCTTATGTAAGTAAGTGTTTATTTGTATATGTGTTGAGCGTTTTGTGTACTTCTGAGTTATGCTCTGTGTTCGCTCGCTCTTTCATTCGGTGGTTTGGTAGGCTTCGAAGATATATGCGCATGCACCCAACTTGACCGTCGGCAATAATTCTTAAAACAATACAACGAAATAATTAATGTCGCTGGCGGCCTTTGCTGGTCTGCCTTTACCACTACCATTTGCTAAATCGCGCTTCTTTTGTTCTCGCCGTTGTCATTTGTTGCCCACTAGTCGTGAAATATGGCTAAGCATTTCCTAGCTATCATTGGCATAGGCACAATTTGTTGTACGTCAGTTCGAAGTTCAAGTTTACTAATTGCCTTAATTAACATTAGACGCCCTTGCAGTATTATAGAAAGTGAATTCTTATAGCAAAAATCTTGAGAAAGGTTAAATGCATAAATGTACAACACTTCCGTACAGAATAAATATATTTCTGCGAAAATAAAAACTGGGGTTTACAATTAAAAATTTACGGCTCTATTATGTCTCAGTGAATAATTCTGGTCACCGTTTTTTCAACGGAAAAATATATGAAAAAGTTTAAATTTGCCAGTAAAAAAAATATTGCACCTATACAGAATTGGGCTATTAATGTCGTTCTCCCAATAATACTCGTTTCTGTGCCAAATAAATTGAATGATTATCCTACTACTGAAAACTAAGTAAGGTAAGAATTTTTTATTTCAAAACAAATAAATGTAGCTGAAAGCTTTTGGTATATAAATTATTAAATGTCTCCTGTTAAATACTCGAAGTCACAAAAAATTCCGAGTGGTCACGAAAAACGATGACTAAGAGTTCCAACAAGGAGGTCTCGGAGAAATGATGACGTGATTCGAAAACCACTGAAAATTTTCATAACTTGCGGAAGAGTTTCGCAAAAATCGTTGCAGGTACCTAAAGGATACGAATCGACTCGAAAAATCTATTAAAATTTCTTTAGATCTCCAAGAACTGTTGGAGCATCCCAAAAATAAACTTGGAAATCTGAAAAAGTCTCCTATCACGTTTTTTAAGTCATGTTCTACAGTTTTAGAAGGTTGTTAACCAAATGAAACTTTATTTAAAAATGGTTTCTTGGTCTCAAAATCTAAAATAAAGTTTAATTTTAAGCCTGTGGTGTTTATAAGGTGTCGAGCATTTTATCAGCCTTATCGTATAAATTCGTAAGAAGGTACAGCTGTAACCCTTAACTACTTTAGATTTTACTTTTGGTAATGCCGATGTCAGAAGTTATAATTGGCTTTTTAAGAAAAACAAGCTTTTTGTGCTCCTTCATAAATTTTTTAATGATATCGCTCTAAATCAACAGCATCCTTGATTAGAAATTTATATCAAAGTTATGCAGTTGGAATGTGAGAAAGGAATATCCCGAAGTCAATATACCCGCAAAGCCAGGACCCACATTAATTTAAAAAAAAAAATATTTAAAAAGTCCAGTGCAATGTAGAACACAGCGTTGGTAACACATAAAAGAGAAAGTTCTGTACAATTGAAGAATAGTAAATATTTTGGTGCCTAAGAAAAAATAGGTATTGCACATAACTTTTTACAATTTTTTCCTTGAATATCTTGGGAAATTTGCAATATGTATTTAATTTCAAATAATTTTATGTTATGGACTAATATATTTACACCCATTAAATTAAAATTTCAACCTTATTACTTTCTTAGGTTAAAAAAATATAAATAATTGAACGGAAATTTTTAATACGTATTCGTCCTTGGGAGCAAAAAAATTTAATTTGCTTAAATTTTGCAGAACTCTCTCTTTAATTTTTATATTAGTCATATCCTTTCAATGTTGTTTATTTTAAAATATCGCCTCAAATAAAACTTGGAATAAAATTTAGAAATGACCTAATATATTTAGAATATGTTAACAAATTAGTACTTCACTTGTTGGCGAAAAATTCTACTAATATTATTTTTAAGCAAATTATTTTAAGGTGCCTCCCTGGAAACATTTACGAGACTTTACCTTATACTTAAACTTTAACTTTACAAGTAAATACTTTAAATCCCATAAAACTAACTCTTATTTTCCTCTTTCTTTGCAGGGATCGCATATTTCGATTAAATCTACAAAATATAAGTCAATCGATTTGTGAGGTAAGTGCATAGAATCTATACGCGAATGGAGTAAAAAATGTATAAAACCTGGATAAAAATAAAAATAAAAATTATAAAATAAAAATGCTTGCAACATCATTTCTTATGTTCGAGCGAAAGTAACTAAACTGTCAAAGCAAAATTTCTGTGAAAGCGCTCCCAAAGCGACGAAAGCAACTTAGCCGCTATGCAAGTACTTGCAGAGTCGCTCCAGCCAGCAGCTACACAAAAAAAAAAAAGCCACAACAGGAAGTGAATCAAGCAGCTCAAATAAGGAAGACATTTCACTTGAGCCAAAAAATAAAATGAAAAGAAATACTTTAAAATGAAATTTAGCGAAAAGGAAATTGAGAAATATATCGCATGTACAAACACGCCCTCCACAAGCTTAGGTGCCTGCTTTCAGTGGTTAGCGGAAAGTTATAGAAATTGAAAGAGTGAAATAGTGCGGTTGATTTGAAGTTGAAATGTGAAGGGAAAAGAGTAAAAAAAAGCAAAAATGGAATAGAAAAGAAAGTTATAGAGTTCAACGGTTATTTGCAGCATATGCTTGGTTTGGTTTTCAAGTTATGCAGACGCCGCTAAAGGCAACTCAAGTTTGGAATGCAAACGCAGAGAATTGCCGCCACAAAGCGAAAAGTAGCAACAACACAAATAACTAAAAAAAAAGAGAATTTCAGAAAACGTATACAAAGCGTCTAAGCAAAATGCAGATAAATGCAAACTGCACACCGACTTTCAGTGAAATCAAGGCGGCGGCAGTGTGTTGTCGGACTCAGAGTCTTGCATTTGCAGCTCGAAGAATATCAAGAAATGCATTCGTCCATAAGCAGCTTCAATACGAGACATGTGGATTCCCCGTTGTTGCTCTCTGGGTTTCGCTATACAAGCGGTGTATGCGTTTTTCTGCTGCTTTTGGCTCGCTGTCGGTTAAAGACCAACGTAGCGTATACGCAACATAAAAGGAAGTACACGCATACATTAATGTATGTAGTTCTAATACATATCAGCTTGCGCGCCTGGAGGTATGGCATGTTTATTGTTTGCTTACTTTTGCATTATATCTGCTGAGCATTACCACTTCTCAAATGGCTTATAAAATTGTTCGCTGAATCTTCGTCTGGCAGATCACTGTAGAGTGCCTCAGGTTGAGCTATACATTGGAAAAAAATATTTAGATTTATGTAAACCTCGATTCCCACTGAACGACTTGTGCAGACTTTGACGATGAGTAAGTATTTCATTCAGTAGGAAAACAGCTGAGTAGAAAAGCATTGGCTTAGAGGGTATCTTGAACCGATATAGATTTTAATGATTATTGAGTTCTTTTATGGTGAAATTTTTTAGGGTTTTACTAAAAGGAAGCGAGTTAGGTAGCAGTGAAATTTTTCACTGATGTTTCGAAGCTTTACAGTGGGATTTGTGAGGCGATCTTCTATGACAAATGCTTATTAAAGATCATATTTTATGCTGGGCGATGAAAGGAGCACCTCACTCTCGCAACAAGACCTCACTCTCACTTTTAGTGGGGATTTTTAAAGGTCGCTGTCCTATCGTTATTCACGCAGCAGTTATCTCGAGGATGATGAGATGAAATCCCCCCAATGTGTTGTAGTAGATTGTTCAGTTTTTGTAAGCAAATGCTAAAATTCATATACCTTGGCTCGCACCTAAGCAACCTTAAGGAGTTCACACGGATTTATATTAGCCGTCTCTACAGCGCCATGATTGGGTCGCAGACTTTCATCGAATGAGCAGTGGTTATTGTTCAAGTTCACAAAGAACAGCTTCAATAATATCCGATAGTTTCCCCAATTGACAACTACCACTTAACCTGAATAGGAAATAACCAAAGAAGCCCAGAATTATAAAATGGATGGCCCATGGCATCAACAAAATGGTTATATGCACAGATTAAAATATATGGAACTGCATTACCAATTGGATGTAAATACATATACTAAGTAGTACGCATGTAAATTCAAAAGCATGTTCACAAAACATTCGATTATTTAACAAATATTTCGCTTTTATTTAAATCATGATAAAATTTCTATCGAACACACACAAACAAACGTTATAAGTAAAATTGCGGCACGTTGCGGCGATGCACCCTACTACTACAAGCAAGCAACAATTTAATAATGCAAAAACAACAATTTATGAAAAAGAATAGGCAAAATAAATATAAGTTCGAGCACGCGACAGAAAGGAATGTAATCGCTTGGCAGAACATGTAAAATGGTTTTTGGCCTCGCTCCGCTTCCCACCTTTACTCACCAACGATTCAGCTAATACGAATAGCAGCGTGTATACTTACTACGATTGAAACACACAAACATACGGCACATATTACAAAGTTAAATAAAAAATAGAATAATACTATCGAATGCTATTGAATGTGCCGTCATTTAAAATATCATTTGGTATTTTGCTCACGTTACGCGTTTGTTTATTTAATTCGATTTTTCGTTGCCACTACCTCCACACATACATACGTACATACATACTCCCTACTTGCTTGTGAAAAATGCAGTAGCGATAGCAGCCAAAACAAAAATGATTGCTGGGGTTTTTGGTAGAGGGAGTTGCAATTTTTCGTAAACATTGGCGACACCCCGCTTTGCAGCCAACGGGGCCAGACAGACACAAGCAGCAGTGTATTGAATACAAAATTGTAAATCGAAAATTTCTTTGAACAATTTTATTTCATTACATATGCATGTATGTTTGTATGTATGTATATTTCTGCGTGCATATTCGGCTGAGCATTTGAAAATGTGTTGGTATTTAATGTTTTTTTTTTTCTTTCTCTAATTGTATGTGTGCCCGTGAAAAGTCGTTTTGAAAATGCCATTTATTGGTTGGGCTACGTGCGGAAATTTGTACATGTTTCGTTGTTTTTTTTTTTTCTTTTTTCTTTGGTGTGCTTCAAAATTTTTTATTAAGTAAGCAGGAAAATTGATTTTGCCTTGATGACTAAACGGAAAAAAATCAATTCTGTAGTTATATGCCGGCTTTGTTGGAAAAAGAGGTTCCATTTCTTAAACAAAAAAAAAACAGCATTAAGGATAGAGTCAAAGATTTAGCGCAAATAATAACTTGAAGGTAATATTTACGAAGTAAAATAATATTGATTTCTTAAGCCAGTTGGAGAAGAAATGGCAAACTGCTTCATTTTGGCTACGAAAAGTGCCCAAAAGATCTTAACCAATAGGAAATATAACTTTTTTCCGATTAGATGCAACTTTTCAAACCCAAGTCATTCTAAGTTACATTCCAAAAAGTTGAAGAAGGGTGGAAGTGGTATTCATTCCTTAGACAGGAAGGAAGAAACACGAAACAGCAGAAGATTTCAGACCTTTAAGCCTTTCCTAGTTTTACTTAAGACCGCCACTAGGGGAAGTGACTACTTCAAGAGCTCAGCATGCGTACATTACGGAAGATCCACGGAGACCTGGGTCTTGTAATATATACTCTAGCAGCCTTTCTTGACATTCAAGCCGCATTCAATAATAGCGAAGTCAGCACCATTGTAGACTCCCAACAGAAACTAGGGGTTGATGACAGTGTCTGCAGATGGATACATTCAATGCTAGACAACAGAATAATTCACGCTACAAATGGAACTGCGTCTCTGACCCATAATGTGAGTAGAAGTAGAGATACCCCAGAGGGAGGCGTTCTTTTACATTGCTGTGGGTAGCGTTGAACGGCAAACTGAAATACCTCAACAAAAGGGGTGCCAAAGTTATGGCGTACGCCGATGATGTGTAAGCGAAATACTCGAAAGAGCACTGGAAAAATTACACGTTAGGGCCACGGAAAGCAGGCTAAGTGTAAACCAAGATAAGACCGAATTTATGCTATTCACAGGAATAAGGGTCGCATTTAGGTACTGCCTGACAGAATCGTTAAAAATAATCTTACACTTAATCCCTATTGATCTCAACCTAAAAGAAGAGAGTCAGGAGGAACACGTAAATTCAGGCACGGAACGACCGTCAACGAAACACAATCACAACAAAAGACCGACTATATAGTATCTAACCTCAGTTTCGAAAACATGAATGTGAGAACCCCATCCAGTATAGAGTGGAGGAGGGGTAGAGTGGCCAATAAAGAGGCAATCTCTTTCTACATTGACGGTTCAAAGACGGTCAGAGGTGTTGGGGCAGGTGTAAACTCCGTGGAACGCGTCTCCTTGTCTCTCCATCTAAGGAATATGGCAAGCATCTTCCAAGCGGAAGTCTTAGGCATCTTTGAATCTTGTAAGGTTATAGGAGAAGGCATCGGAAGAATTAAGAATGCAACAATATACTCTGACAGCTAAGCGGCTCTGTTAGCACTAGCATCATCGATTACCAAATCCCAGCTAGTCCAGAAGTGTAAAAGAGAATCTCAGTTCTTGCGTAAATAAGTACATCTCTTGTCTTGGTTTCCGGACTTAGGAATATAGGAACATTGAAGACAATGAGAAGGCCGATGAATTGCCGAAGGCAGGAGACTACGTTTAAGAATCCCAGGCTGTTGCACTGCGATGCCCCCTCGAAGTCGTTCAAACTAAACTCAACTAAAGCTCTTTATCAATCACGTTTCAACAGAAAGCTGATTAACGCCTTAAACGTTTAAATTTGTTCTAAAACGAAACTAACATCTTTTATTTTAAAGATTGCGCCATTCACTTGATATCATAAATTTTCCACCTATCGCATTCAATGCTTGCACTTTTCGCATTTCAAAATAACTCACATATTTTAACTTTTTGCTTAACAATTTGTAATCAAATTTGCATTTGCCCCAGAGAAGCATCAGAGATAAAGAATGAGGGGGAAACTTGCTATAATTTATTCTGCCAAAATGCGCTTAACTACAAAGTGCAAATGCAGTTCAATGCAAAATGCACAAATTGCGCAAATTGCCCGGAAGACACAAGACAAGCTGCGACCTTACAACGGTTACACCCACAAGCATTTAAATATTGCTGCCGTTACCGTTATTTTCCCATCTACACATACATACATATATATGTATGCTGGAGGTATGCACCACCGCTGTTCGTAATGCGCTGAATGCCCATCGATACTTTAATATCCAAGTCGTTTGGGAAAATGAAGAAAAAGAGGTGCTCCAGCAACTGGCCGAAATTACTTCCTATGTTTTGCGGAGGCATTAAAGGACTTGCACACACACATACTACATACGAATGCATGTATATTTGTATATGTGTGCGCCAGCATGTAAATAACGCGCAGCTATCCTACGCCGCTGGAACGTTCGGTAATGCCTTTACACTTCTTCGTCTCTGTTTTTAAGATTATTATTTCTTAGCTCTTTTTTATTTCATTATGCCACTTTTTACTTCGACTCGAATTCTGTCCATTGCAGCTGTGTGTATGCACGCATTCTTTGCCATTTTCTCATGGCGGCTTATTACTTGCCGCTTGGCTGCCTGCTTATGCATTTTCGATTGCTTGCTGACCAATTGAGTCGCCCTTTCGTTTGCTCATTTTTTTGCTGCTACTTATGCAATTATTTATACGTAGTTTTTCTTTTCCTGCACTTGTTCATGCCTTGTTTTTG